GAAGGCTTCTTGTCCGAGGAGTTGCATGTCCATGAACCGGGATGTTCCGGGATGTTCCCCCGGTGTGTGTTGCAGCAGAACGCCGGGTGCTCGGGGCTCCTCCGTGCCTCTTCCAGCACCTCAGCTTCAGAATTCCGCAAAGCGATGCAGAGTTTTGGATAAAGTTAGCTTCTCCAAATTCCCTTTTGGAATCCGAATTCCGGCAGCCGCTGGTTGTCCGCTCCAATTCCGATGGGCTCCGTAGGGCCGGCGGGTCCCCCGCTCCGCACTAGCCTTATCTAAAACCCTGATCTTGAGCAATTTTGGGCGACTTCAGGCCTTTCCTCAGTTTTGCTGCAGCACAAACCGGGACCTCTTTGTGCTCTTGATTGTTGATCTCTGGTGTTGATCTCTGACCTCGTCTCCGAGCCTTCTAGTTTGTCGATTTTAGGGACGCTGGACCTTTGACCAACAGGACGTTCTCTGTTGCGGGCCGGGGCCGGGGCAGCCATCCTTCCGGGCGGAGGGTTCCCTGGATCCTCGCCGAGCCTCGCCCCATCCCTCCTCCCCAGCGCCCGCGCTCCGCACGCCGAGCCGGGCTTTCACCCCCCTCAAATTTCCCCATCACCACGGCCTCGCCGCCGCCTCTCCATCCATCCATCCATCCATGCATCCAGGATTTCTGTGCCCTCCACCGAGCCACGTGCTCGGTCTCCTCCTTTTCCTCCTCCTCCTCCTCGTCCCAGAGCACATTCCAGCCCATCCCTCCCTGGGAATTGAGCTTCCCCCTCAGTCCAGGCGAGGCCGCGCGGCGACGGCGGCGCCGCAGCCCCCGTTTCCCTCCCGCTCCCAGCATCCCAGCAGGATTTTTTGGGAGCCTCAGCTGCCCGTTAGGATGCTGCCTCATCCCCCTCGGCCCGACAGAAGCCCCTTGGTCAAACCGTGCCTTGTCTTCTTATTCCATCCACGACTAGAAACGCTCTCAGTCACCGACTCCCCGGACGTTCTGGACAGGCAGAAATGCCTTGCTGCCTTGGCGTCTCTGCGCCACGCCAAGTGGTTCCAGGTTTGCATTTTGTTCTTATATTTATCTTTAAGTAGAAACATTGGTAWACTCTTTTAAAAAGGGGCTGAGTGTTGTTTTTTTTGGAGTTGGAGTTTTCAAGTGGCCGCCGGCCGCTCGGAGGTGCCGGACTGTGGGCGCTGGAGTGACTTAGGAGCCTTTGTACGGAGCAGCCGCGGAGCTGCTGCTGTGTGTGAGGAGTAACGTCACCTTGGCTGGACCTTGGCTGGACCTTGGCTGAGATCTTGGCTGAGATCTTGGCCAAAACCTTGGCTGGACCTTGGCTGAGATCTTAGCCATGATCTTGGCTGAGACCTTGGCTGGACCTTGGCTGGACCTTGGCTGGACCTTGGCTGGACCTTGGCCGAGATCTTGGCTGAGACCTTGGCTGGACCTTGGCCGAGATCTTGGCCATGATCTTGGTTGAGACCTTGGCCAAAACCTTGGCTGGACCTTGGCTGAGACCTTGGCCAAAACCTTGGCTGAGACCTTGGCCAACCCCTTAGCTAAGACCTTGGCTGAGACCTTGGCTAAGACTTTGGCCAACACCTTGGCTGAGATCTTGGCCAAAACCTTGGCTGACCCCTTGGCCGACCCCTTGGCCAACCACTCGGCTGAGACCTTGGCCAACCCCTTGGCTGAGATCTTGGCCAACCCCTTGGCTAACCCCTTGGCTAAGACTTTGACCAACCCCTTGGCCAACCCCTTGGCTAAGCCCTTAGCTAAGACCTTGGCCAACTCCTTGGCTAAGGCCTTGGCCAACCCCTTGGCTAGGACCTTGGCTAAGACTTTGGCCACCCCGTTCGGCCAAGGCTCGGCTGTCCCGGCGCAGCTTTCCCGGCTTTCCCCTCGGCAAAGCAGCAGCTGGAGGGAGCGTCGGCGGCGCGGGAGGGCCATGGGTCAATCCCTGTCTGGTTTGGTTCCGCTTCCAGGCCAGGGCCAACGGGCTGAAGTCGTGCGTCATCGTGATCCGGGTGCTGCGGGACCTCTGCACTCGCGTTCCCACCTGGGCCCCGCTCCGAGGATGGGTAATTCCCCCTTTTCCGTTCCGGGATGGGGGGTTGGTAGAGTTTTTCCCAAATTTTGCTCTGTTCCTTTCCCAATTTTGGGATTTCTATGGATGAACGATTTTTCCGCACTCGGAAACGCAAATCAAATGTCTGTGGTGCAAATGGTTTATCAGTTGTCAACTGACTTTGTCTCATTAATTATCAACTCATCACCAAATTGGTGTATAGATTATCAACTCGCCTTGTTGTTGAATTGCTTTATCAATTATCAGCTCAGGTTGTTATTGAATTGATTTGTCAGTTATCGACTCACCTTATTGTTGAGTTGCTCTATCAATTTTTAAATCACATTGTTATGGAAACATTTTATCAACTGCCAAATCACATTACTGTGAGTTTTATCAGCTATCAAGTTTTGTTGGTATCAAATTGTTTTTATCAGTTATCAAACCACATCATTATCAAATTGTTTTATAAATTACCAAGTTGTGTTATCATCTAAGATAAAATATCAAATCACGTTATTTTAAAATATTACTAATTGCCAAGTTTTGTTATCAAATAGTTTTATCAATTATCAAATCACTTTTTCAGTTACCAAACCATGCTGTCCTCAGACTCCATCATCAATTTTCCTTATCAATTAACAAACGGTTTTATCAGTTACCAAACAACTTTATCTTATCAAATCAATCATTAGCTTGTTTTATTTATTTATTTATTATTATTTATTATGGAATCACATTGTTATCAATCTGTTTTATCAATTCATGACTTCCACAGCCTGACTTCTCTCCTCCTTTGGGAACCAGAAGCTGCTCCCAGACGGGTCCTTTCCCAGAGTCCCTTTCCAGGAATCCCTTTTCCTGGAGTGTTTCCTGATGTTCCTCTCCCAGGATCCCTTTTCTCAAAGTGCTTTTCCAGGGGTTCCCTTTGCCAGGATCTGTTTTTTGGGGTCCTTCTCTCTGATCCCTCTCTGGGATCTCTCTCCCCTTTCCAGCGATCCCTTTTCCCAGAGTGTTTCTCCCAGGATCCCTTTCCAGGAGCCCCTTTCCTCAGAATGCCTTCCCAAGGGGTCCCTTTGCCAGGATCTCTCTTTTTTGGGGCATTTCTCCCTGATCCCATTCCCAGGGTCCCTCTGTGGGATCTCTCTCCCAGGGGTCCATTTCCTGGGCTCCCTCTCCTGGGCTCCTTTTTCCAGGGGTCCTTTCCACAATCCCTGTTCAGGATCCCTTTCCAGGGTTCCTGTTCCAGGATCCCCTTCCCAGATCCCTTTCCAGGGGTCCCTTTCCCGGGATCCCTTTCCAGGTTTCCCTTCCAGGATCCCTTTCCAGGGTTCCTTTTCCCGGGATCCCTTTCCAGGGTTCCCTTTCCCAGATCCCTTTCCATCAGTTCCTCTCTTGGGCTTCCTTTTCGGGATCCCTTTCCAGGATCCCTTTTCAAGATCCCTTTCCTGGGATCCCTCTCCTTGGGTCCCTTTCCAGGATCCCTTTCCAGGATCCCTTTCCCAGGATTCCCGTCCCCGGTCCCTCTTCATGGGTCCCTTTCCTGGGTTCCCTTTCCCCTGCTCCCCATCCCCGGTCCCTCTCCATGGGTCCTTTTCCAGGATCCCTTTTCAGAGTTCCCTTTCCCAGATCCCTTTCCAGGGTTCCCTTTCCCCTGCTCCCCATCCCCGGTCCCTCTCCATGGGTCCTTTTCCAGGATCCCTTTCCAGAGTTCCCTTTCCAGAGTTCCCTTTCCATGGTTCCCTTTCCAGGGTTCCCTTTCCAAGATCCCTTTCCAGGATCCCTTTCCAGGATCCCTTTCCCAGGTCCCTTTCCAGGGTTCCCTTTCCCCTGCTCCCTGTCCCCGGTCCCTCTCCATGGGTCCTTCTCCAGGATCCCTTTCCAGAGTTCCCTTTCCATGGTTCCCTTTCCGGGATCCCTTTCCAGGGTTCCCTTTCCCGGGATCCGAGTCCCCGGTCCCTCTCCGGGCTCTGCTCTCCCCTCTCCCCTCCCTCACTCTCCCCCTTCCCTTGCAGCCCCTGGAGCTGCTGTGTGAGAAGTCCATCGGGACGGCGAACCGGCCGATGGGCGCGGGCGAGGCGCTGCGCCGGGTGCTGGAGTGCCTGGCCTCGGGCATCGTCATGCCAGGTGAGCCCCGAGCGCGGCCGCGGCGCGGGAGCGGAGCCGGGAGGAGAGAGAGCCCCTCGTTTGCCCGCGGGCACGCCGAGATGGCCGCCCTCCCGTCCCCATCCCGTCCCCATCCCGTCCTCGGGAGCCACCTCAGCCCCCGTAGGACAGGCCCCAGCGGAATTGGGCTCCCGGTCAGCGCCGTTGCCGCGGTGGCCGCTCCCGGCGCACGGCCCGCGGCCATCGGCGCTGCCGGAGCCGCCCCAGGGAATTTAGAGTAGAGACCCGGGATAATTCTCTGCATATCTTCCTTGTTTCCTGCCTTCAGATGGTTCTGGTATTTATGAYCCTTGTGAAAAAGAAGCCACTGATGCTATTGGGCATCTAGACAGACAACAAAGGGAAGATATCACACAGAGTGCTCAGGTATAGTGTGACCTCCATCCGGCCCTTCCCAATCCCCGGCTCGCTCCGCTCCCGGCTCCCTC